TAGCTTCGCAGGCTCTCATCTTGGTCTTGCTTTATGCTGAACATGTGGGTGACAGGCTTCTGGTGATGACGTCCTCCAATAAAGTGCAACACGAAGGACCTGCTCAGCTCAGCAAATGAGCCGATGGAAGTGGGGGTGATCTTGGTGAACCACTGTCGAGCGGATCCCTTCAAGGTGGTTGGAAACGCTCTGCACATGATTTTCGTCAGGGATATTGTGCAATTGCATCAAGGTCTTAAAATTTTCAAGGTGGTCCAATGGATCCTTCGTACCATCAAAGGTTTCGGCGGATGACATCTTGAATTTTTAAGGGAGTGGGTAGTTCGCCATGTCAAGTTTGAAAGGTGTGTCAGTTCGACTTACAAGGTAATCCACTATCTCGGGTCCTCATGCCTTTATGGCGTTGAAGACATCACCCAATTGATTCTGCACCTCCTTAATTTTTTCGTCCTAATGATTAGGAGGAGGTCCCCTGGAATTATCATGGATATGGCACCCATGCTCCAAGCTTTGATTTTCACCCTCGTCCTCTTGGAAAAGAGGGTCTCCAACATGAAAAGAGGGAGCTAGAAGAGGAGGTGGAGGTCCTTTGTGGGAAGCTCCCTTGTGCGGGGTGCCTGAGGGGACTCCAAAGGGGGAGTTCAGATGAGGAGCACCCATGTGGGGAGCTCCTTGACGCCCAGGGCGTGGAGCTCCTCTGATTTGAGGTCCAAGTTGTGCTCCTTTTCCTAGATGAGGAGCGCCTATGTGGAGAACTCCTTGACGCCCAATTAGTATTAGTTGTAGGATCTGTTGGTTCTGGGGCGCAAGTTGCTACATGGTCTCGAGCATCTACTGCTCATTTGGGGCAGGATTGGTTGGTTGAGGAGCAACCTCCTCCTCTCTTGGTGATAGGTTATCTTCAGGCTGATTTATGGATCTGTTGGTGATCGACTTTGACTTAGCAAAGGAAAGTGGCTAGGTGAGAACTGTCGTTCCCACAAACGGTGCCAAATTGATGATGTACAAATTAGTTTGTACACCACTAGTCAAGTTGTAGTATAAAATGCAGTAAATAGAAGGAGAGAGAAGACATAATTTATAGTGGTTCGGTCAATACGACCTACGTCCACTTTGAATGGCTAGGTTCGCCGGAATTTTATTATCTCCGGTGTGGAGGGAGAGCACATGATTACAAGTTTTGAGAGGGGAGGAGAAAATTATGCTCAAATGAGTCTGATGCCCCCCAAGTGTCAGAGGAGCTTATAATTTATAGTGGTTTGATATAGTAATTGTATAACTATTCTGACAGTCATTATGACTTAGGACCGTTTGATAGTAATTAGGTAGCTAATCCGGCGGAGGCAATCTATCATCTTCTCAACGGGCGAGGTGTGACGGTTGGTGTGCTCTCCAAAGGACTTGGTCAAGGATGAGGGAGGTTGACTATCTCCAAGCTGCGAGGGTGAGGCTCCTGGATGCTCCTTGGTGGTGTAGAGAAGACTCTTGGATGACGCTTACTCCAAGGTGGTAGAGGAGGCTCTTTGATGACTANGGATGCTCCCTTGGTGGTGAGGGTGAGGCTCCTGGATGCTCTCTTGGTGGAGTAGAGGAGGCTCTTGGATGACCCTTACTCCAAGGTGGTAGAGGAGGCTCTTGGATAACCGTGCATGCTCCCCTGCTGATGTAGCTCCTTGATCTTGATAAGATTATCCGGGTGTAGACTCCTTTGGGTTAACTAGTTAGATCTCTTGGAATTGGGCCTTTAGCTCGGACTGGGCTTATAACATGGGTTGGGCCTTTGGACCTGGTCTATCAGTTAGCACAAAAAAAAAATTTGTCATTTTTATTTTTCATCCATCCAACCAAACACAAAAAGAAGGAAAGTGTATCTTTTCTACTTTTCATCCTTGAAAGATAGAAAATGTATCTCTCATATTTTTTATCCATCCTACTTTTTATCCTCTCTACCAAACGGAGCATAAGTCTGGAAAATATTAGATTGTGTACGTATCATACTAAAAATATTTTTTTTTTTGATGTTCCTAATCTATTAAAGAGCCATACAAAGTATTCGAGGTCCCTGTAGTTCCCGTCGTTTACAGGAGTCTGATAAAGAGAAATTATAGAAAAATTTATATCCTCATTCTGAAGAGATTGATTATCCTATTTGAATCGGTCATCATTTTACTTTGGCATTTGTTTCAAATCCGACATCTTTGTTGTTGTTCCTAATCAGTTATAATTGCTAAATTGTACACTAATGGCTCGTTTGGTAGACGTATTATGAGGGAATTAAATATTAGATTGTATTATTTTTTATTTAATCGGACTTAATACTTTGTTTGGTAAACAAATTTGATTAATTTCAAAAACGTATATTAATCGTATATTTATTGTATATTTTTTATACGATAAACTTGTATTATGGATATATTTTAATACCACCAAAAGAGGTAGTATTATAATACAACTTAAACGTATTATTTTACACATTTACTATTATAACCCTCTAACATATAAAATTAAGTTGTCATAAATGTAACAAACATTGATTGAGGGTATTTTTGTTAATTCAACATTAATGCGATGAAATAATTTCTCAATCAAACAATCAATTTGATTAAATAACTAATATCCAACATTTATGTTGTATATTGCCAAACATTAGATAAAATTATGTATTATTCTAATACTCTATTTAATTTTGTCTTTTGTCATTTCGTATTGCATTAGATTAAATTACTCTATCTAATCCATCCATTTATAATACGGCAACTAAACGAGCCCTAAAGGTTCGTTTGGTTATTGTATTAAAAATAGATGAATTGAATAAAGTAATATAGTCTAATACAATATAGATAGATAAAAAATAAAATTAAATAAAATATTATAATAATACATAATTTTATCTAGTGTTTAGTAATACACAATATAAATGTTGGATAATAATTATTTGAAAACAACAAATCTTCCATTTGAACAAAAGAGCAATTCAGACTGTAAGGCTGCCTCGTTGAAAAAGACGAGATGATAAGTAGACATGTACACTCTTTTTTACATTTTTGTTTTGTTTTTTTATTTTTTATTTCTGGAAACAACTATAGCACTTCAATCATCCATTGTGTCCGCCCCGGAATAATCCCAAGTTACTATGATTAATATTTTTGGTACCTAAACACTGATTTAATGATGTGACATTTGACGTGGTCGGCAACATTATCGTAGTTATAACTATTTGATTTTTGTAGTAAGATTATATCACTTTCTATATCATATCATTAATACAACAAAAATGATCAAATTTTTAGGTCCAAAGAGTGTTGTTTAGTAGAAGTATATATATCATTAATAAGAAAGGAAGTAGATTTATAGCTGATAGAGCAAGTTTTTTTTCCAAATTTTTTATTATTTATTAACTTAATATATCATAATCATTAGATCGATAACGGGTTTAAAAAATATTAAGATCTGCTATCAATTCAATAATTATATATATTAGATTAGTAAATTAAATCAATAAATTAGGTCAAAATAATATTTCTTGTGATGCGTGTATTTTTAGAAAAGTGTAATACTATTGAGACCTAAAAATTGACTTATGTGGTTCAATAGAGTGTATTTTTAGAAAAGTGTAATACTATTGAGACCTAAAAATTGACTTATGTGGTTCAATAGAGTTGCTCTGATAATAATTATTAGACTTCTCTATGAGGATTCTATCGCTTGACACATTATTATGACGATAAATTAATTAAAATTTTTAGGTGCCATAAAATTACTGAACAAAAGGAATGTAGAAGTCTCTTTACTTACCTGTAGGGCTATCAATTTTCGACACATTACATTAACACGATACGAATCGAATACAAAATTAATGAGTTAAACAAGAAATTAAACGAGTTAATGGGTTAAAATGAGTCAACACGCTTAAACACGAAAAAAAAAAATCATATCGGGTTCATGTCAAAATAAGGTCAACCTGATTTTGACTTGATTAACCTGTATATTTTAAACAAGTTGATATGATTCAGACACGAACCCAACCTAATCCATTGTAGACCCGTTTAACCCATTTATGACAATATAATTTGTCTATTATGTATGACTGATGTGATCTTAACATTATTACTTTTTAATTTTTCCTTCTACTATGATAATTGACAGTATAATTCTTAACATTATTATAACAGTATACTATTATAGTTATTACTTTAATTTTTGGGTAAAACCTGAATGTATTTTAATTAATTTTATTTATAAGATGTGATATGTTATTTGTAAAAATTATTTTAAATTTTAGATGAATGATATATTTAATGGTAATGAACTGGTGTTGAAATAGGTTATGTGTGTTAAACAAGTCAGTATTATGTGTGCTAAACAAGTTAAATAGATCATATTATGTGTATTAACTTGAAAACGATATGTTTATTAAATACGTCAAACAGGTCGGGTTCGGGTAATCCGTTAATAATCAGGTCATATTAGTTTTTATACATCTCGACACAATTATTAAAAATGTCAAGTTTGAGTTTTGAGATTTTTGACTCCAACTCAAAATCAACCCGACACAAAATGATCTAATCCGACCCGTTTGACATCCTAGTTACCTGCCTTAGACCCACTTATCGTGAGTATTGTGCACAAAATTCAATTCAACCTTTTTTCGAGGCCATATTGGGAAGACAAACCACATAAAAACCAATTACGTCCGATAGCATTAGTGAAAATCAAATTTGTCCACGAAACACTCGTAAAGAGGACGTTTTCAATTGGATTACGTATGTGAGATATTATTTTCGGTACTACAAGACAGTCCGTCACGTTATCTTATACAACAAGGTTAAAACCACTACAATGTCGTGTACAAACAAGACACTTACTTTGGCAACTATAAATACAACACAGAGAGAGAGAGAGAGAGAGAGAGGTGTAGCAGGATTTGAGTGGTCAAAAAAGAAGGAAATGAGCACCTACAAAGCTCACTGTTTGGTCTTACCATATCCACTCCAAGGCCATATAAACCCCATGCTCCAATTCTGTAAGCGTTTAGAACATAAAGGAATTAAAGTCACACTAGCTACTACACGTTTCATGATGAAGACCATGCACAAAGAATCCGGTTCCATTGTAATCGACACGATCTCCGATGGGTACGATGAAGGCGGGCGGAACCAAGCGGAAAGCAGCGAAGCCTACTTGGCGAGATTTCAAGAGGTGGGCTCGGAAACATTGTTCCAGCTCGTTGAGAAGCTTCGTGCCTTGGGCTGCGCTGTTGATTGCATCGTTTACGATGCATTCATACCCTGGGCTCTTGATGTGGCCAAAAAGTGTGGACTGGTTGGGGCTGCCTTCTTCACCCAATCTTGTGCAGTAGACAACATATACTACCATGTATACAAGGGGCTGTTAAAAATTCATGTTCCTGGACCAAAAATTTTGATCCCGGGACTACCACCCCTCCAAGTTTCCGACCTTCCGTCTTTTGTTAGTGTTCCTGGATCATACCCACCTCTCTTTCAACTGGTTCTGAATCAACTCTCCAACATTGATAAAGCAGATTGGGTCCTATGCAACACCTTCCACAAGTTAGAGGAAGAGGTTGGTACTTGCTACTCTTCATAGTCTGTAGTATCGTCTAATTTAATTTGCACCTCACATGTAGTATCGTCTACTCTTCATACTCTTCATGTGTTTTGGTCAGTAACATTTACTTCTCATTCTTTAGAAATCTACAGAGAGTCTATTTTTGAGTTAGAATCAAACTGAACCGTCAAAATTCAGTCAAACTTAATAATTAATGTCAACATTTAATATTTTTACTTATATACCTCATACATTTCTTAGCACAGTAATGCTAGAATAAACCACTCCCTTTCTTTATGCTCCTTTGGAATTTTTGTAACAAGCAAGTTTCAAAACATATGAAGAGCAATCATAATCTTTCTATGTGAAATATTATTAATTTGGTTGACTATTGCACTTTTATTCCAATCCACAGTGGGTTATGTGTAGGTCTTAAAATCTAGCGAGGTAATGGGTCATTTAGGGGTGGCAATCGTGTTGGATTGTATCATTTTGAATTCGTATTGGATTCGTATCGAGCATTAGTTAACCCTAATTCAATCTATTTAACTAATTATGTTTTGTCGAATTGATTTATTTATTTTCATGTCTTATTTGTATTAACTCATATAATTTGTGAATAAAAAATTTATTGTTTAATTTGATGTTTAAAATTTTTTTATTACTTAATTGAACCTATGCTCATACTTTTTCTATAAATTAAAAATTAATTTAACAAATATAATAATAAAAATGAGTAAAAATATCTTTTTTTGTACAAGAATTATGTCACTACTTGATAAAATATAATAGAAAATTGGTATTTTATTGTTATAATACTATTTAAACGTGTTAATTTCATTTTATTTGTGTTTGATACTAAATTAACCAATTTATTATTCGTAGTAACGAGAAAAAACTCGAAAGCAAAAAGCAATATATTAAGCAACTTGTGCGAAAATTTGTATTACCTTTGCTCGTTAGCGCTTTAGTTTGATTGTAACTAGAGGTGACAATCTTAACTTATTATCTATTAATTTGTCCAACCAATACATAAATAAATGGGTTGAGTACCTATATTAATTAATATGAGTTCTAAATAAATTGGATAATATTAGTGTAAATTTTTTTAGCGTATTAGTTTGTGTGTGTTTTTGTGTGTTAGTGTGCGTGCATATGTTTGTATTTTAGTGTACTACTAATATGTGTGTGTTTTGGTGTACTAATGTGTCTATTAAAATTTTTAATTATTAATTTATGGGTTAATCGGTTTAACTCAGCCTATTATAACTCATTTATTAAGTGTGTGAAAAATGAATTAGATTTATTTTAGCCCAATTCAATTTAACCTAACCTCTTGCTAACTCAACCCACCTATTTGCCCCCTCTAATTGTAACTAACACTTTTTTGTTTTCTCGCTTGTTTTCTCTAATAAAAAAGTAAGTTTCAAAGCTAATTGTACTAAAAAAACAAATAGCTTTTTCCTCTCAAGCGTGACTTCGTAAAGAGAAAGTTGGGCGCTTTAATTGCTTTTTATGAAGTTACCCTTTTTTGTTTGTGCATCCTTCTTTCTTCTATTCTTTCTGTTGGTCAACAACCAATAGAAGTTCTCTATAGTTTTTCACAACTCATATAGGAAAGAGTCTCTTTTTGTCTAGAGGGAATTATTTTTTCTCAATAAAAAATGCCTCAACAGTATAAAGTCACTTATTTCACAGAATTCTTCTGGTCATGTTTTTACCTCTTTATGTCCTTCTTAAAATTTTTAGTAACCGGTGTATATCATGCAATACTACGTAGGTAGTTGATTGGATGGCAAAGTTTTGGCCCTTGAGGACAATCGGACCAACAGTTCCATCGATGTATTTGGATAAGAGACTAACAGATGACAAAGATTATGGTCTCTCTATGTATAAGCCAAACACTGATGCTTGTATCAATTGGCTGAATGACAGAGAAAATGGATCAGTTATTTATGTGTCATTTGGAAGTTTGGCGGAACTCGGAATACATCAAACAGAAGAACTAGCATGGGGGCTAAGAGGGAGCAGTTTCCACTTCCTTTGGGTGGTCAGAGAATCGGAGGTGGCCAAGCTTCCGAAAAACTTTGTGGAAGAGACATTGGAGNAATCTTTGAAGAGGTCCACCTAGATCCTATAAATTTTTGTTGTAATGACAAAAGCATAATAAATTGATTGCCAAAAGTAACAATTATTTACTGCCATAAGCATAATAAACGTTGGTTTTGTTGTCGTGAGGGCATTTATTTATCATGTTTCAGTTTTATTTCCTTTTAATATACCTAACATAGTACATAGATGGTAAGTCAAGAAGATATTTTGTCAAGATGTTGGGAAGAGGAAATTTATATTGCTTAGTGCTTAACTCTCAAAGGTCTCTAGTTATGTGATTACTATGTAGGCACTCGTAATCCGAATAGGCTATCATTAGGAGTCTTAATCCAAAGATCCAACACTTAAGATTGAGTTAGCACTTAGGAGTTTGATAGTAATTTCACACCTAAGTAATTCAATTGGGACATTATATGATAAAAGGATTGAATTACATAATAATTGTAGACTAAATGAGTTATTTAGCTATCCCTAGTCAGAGAAAAAAAATGAGTTATGTATCTACTTCGTGCTATGCATGGGTTGATCATCATATACTGCTAAGTGACACTCTTGATTAGTAGAAGCTGAAGAACAAATTCATATAAATATATTGTTATTCGTGAAGGGAGAATTAAAAGAGTTTTAATTTTAGATGCTATTTGAAGGTATTGTCTAATATATACAAACATGAATACTTGAACCTCTAGGGTCACAGACAATATAATTGATTAAAAAATACAAGATAAAGGGGAGAAATCAATTAAAAGTTAATTGGGATGAAAATCTAATTAAAACTTAAATGGGATGAAAACCTAGTTGAGGAAATTTATCATAATTATTGGTTAATAAAAAGTTATCGTGTAATTAAAAGATAATTATAATTTGATTCAAACTAAGATTACGGTCTTTTAAAGCTCTATAAATCACCGATAGATGAGGCATATGGTTACTACACTCTCGTGATAGCACAAGAAGATCCACCTCTCCACCTCTTTCTCTCTCTACTAATTCATCAAAGATTAAAGCTTGATTTTTCAAATTTGTCAATTTATGTGGATACCAATAAAACTTAAACACTTGTGAGGCTGGGGATAAAAATCAAATTCGTATTAGAATATCAAGATTCTTTGAGAGAGATTTAAGATATTACAAAAATGCTTTCAGACGTAACCCTTAATCTTTTTTGTAGATATAGGGTTGTCGGAATGAATACATCTTAAAATATGAATTGATTTAAAATTTTTTTTTTTTTGCTACGTTTCTTTTCTAGTTCCTTATAATTTCATGGTAATGACATATACATTAAATAAATTATGTTAAACGAGGAACAAGATAATAGAAAAATTCTGTGTAAATTGGTGAAAAATACAATGTTCAGGTCTTCATTGTGAATAGGTCCATGCACAATTTTTTTGAGGAGTTAAGTAAACAATTTTTCAAAACTCTAGGCGGTGGTGGTGGCTGTGGGGTGGCGAAGGGCGGTGGCGATGGGTGAGATAATGGTGGCAATGGTAATATAAGAATAAGAAGTTTACTATAAAGAAGTAAAATTTATTTATTTTTTCTGACTTGTTTAATTGGTAAAACTGTTTTTGACATATTAAAAAATAATTAAAATAATTTATGTCAAACACTAAATTTTTTTTAAAGTTCTAAAAACACTTTTTAAAAGTTATTCCAAACGTCTTACACATGTTGACCATTGTTTAAAATGATGCACCATCACGATGGCCCTATTGAATCAAAATCGATGATCAAGACCGTAGAATTTGAAAGTCTGGAGTTATCAAGTAGGCAAAATTCACTGTCAAAATTCAAATTAAATGGGTATTTCTATGTCTAACAGTAAAATTGAGTATTTTTTCATTGTATTCAACAATGAAATTGGGTACTCATACCTAAGTTCCACTATAAAGGATTTAAGAACAAGGATCGGTTAAGGACAAAGAAAAACAGGAGGAAGCGAAAATACTTATTGCCGTGTCATTGGGTGATATTCACCTTCTTTGCTTTTTCATTTGGCCCCAAAAACAAAGATGGGGTCTTAGGCAAAAATTTTAGATGGTCTTAAATTATTTTTAGAGGAATAATTCAGTTATTTTTATTATTTTTTTAATCTTAAATATTTAAATTCATATCTTTTAGAAAAAAAAATAGGTCATTTAGCATGCATATTTAAAGGTCAAAAACAACTTGCAAAATAAATACTCTATGTTAATGATTATATTATATTAAGATAAAAATTATGTCAAGAATTATAATTCAAGAATATTAAACTGAATAAATAGATCAGAATTATTGAGAAATCAAACAAAATGAGAGTAGAGCCTTGTAACTTTTTGTATAAGAATATGGTGCAATTTTTTTTAATTGTACCTATATTTTTTATTTAGTTAAAACTTTTTAGTTGTTTCATGTAACATCATAAATTTTTTATTACAATTTTTAAATTTTAATCATATCATTTTAAGGAGTCCTTGCCTAGGGTGGAGCGAGTTCTGATTGATGGTCTACGACAATTAAAAAAAGGAAAATGCTATGTTTATCAAAAAATTTTATCAAATCTTTCGTACCAAATGATGTGGCATAATCTCCGTTATTAAATATTAATGAAACTCACTTATTTGATGGTGAAAAATTATGCTACATCATTTGAGATGGAGATTTGATAAAAAAATTTGATAAGTATAGTATTATCCTTAAAAAAAATTTACCCCTAAATACAAAGTTCTGAATAAGAAAACCGAGAGAGAGAGATCACAAAAAATTGTCTTAAACCGTTTCAAATTACACTTCAACTTGGTAAATAAACTAAAGAAAAAAATTGAACCACATCACTTGCCAATGTTAATATCTTCATGAAAAAAATTTAAACCACACTAATCTGAAAGAAACTCTCTAACAAGTTTTAGCCTGTNGGTCTGGAGTTATCAAGTAGGCAAAATTCACTGTCAAAATTCAAATTAAATGGGTATTTCTATGTCTAACAGTAAAACTGAGTATTTTTTCATTGTATTCAACAATGAAATTGGGTACTCATACCTAAGTTCCACTATAAAGGATTTAAGAACAAGGATTAGTTAAGGACAAAGAAAAACAGGAGGAAGCGAAAATACTTATTGCCGTGTCATTGGGTGATATTCACCTTCTTTGCTTTTACATTTGGCCCCAAAAACAAAGATGGGGTCTTAGGCAAAAATTTTAGATGGTCTTAAATTATTTTTAGAGGAATAATTCAGTTATTTTTATTATTTTTTTAATCTTAAATATTTAAATTCATATCTTTTAGAAAAAAAATAGGTCATTTAGAATGCATATTTAAAGGTCAAAAACAACTTGCAAAATAAATACTCTATGTTAATGATTATATTATATTAAGATAAAAATTATGTCAAGAATTATAATTCAAGAATATTAAACTGAATAAATAGATCAGAATTATTGAGAAATCAAACAAAATGAGAGTAGAGCCTTGTAACTTTTTGTATAAGAATATGGTGCAATTTTTTTTAATTGTACCTATATTTTTTATTTAGTTAAAACTTTTTAGTTGTTTCATGTAACATCATAAATTTTTTATTATAATTTTTAAATTTTAATCATATCATTTTAAGGAGTCCTTGCCTAGGGTGGAGCGAGTTCTGATTGATGGTCTACGACAATTAAAAAAAGGAAAATGCTATGTTTATCAAAAAATTTTATCAAATCTTTCGTACCAAATGATGTGGCATAATCTCCGTTATTAAATATTAATGAAACTCACTTATTTGATGGTGAAAAATTATGCTACATCATTTGAGATGGAGATTTGATAAAAAAATTTGATAAGTATAGTATTATCCTTAAAAAAAATTTACCCCTAAATACAAAGTTCTGAATAAGAAAACCGAGAGAGAGAGATCACAAAAAATTGTCTTAAACCGTTTCAAATTACACTTCAACTTGGTAAATAAACTAAAGAAAAAAATTGAACCACATCACTTGCCAATGTTAATATCTTCATGAAAAAAATTTAAACCACACTAATCTGAAAGAAACTCTCTAACAAGTTTTAGCCTGTCCAGTAGTTCTGAAAAGCCGACGATATCATGCTGCGGAGGAAGAACATGATCTTTGAAATTGAAAACAGGGTCAAGGCAATTGTAGCAACAGTAATGAGAATTCAAATAACACTGATCAAATTTTAAGACTAAATTAAGAGTTTAAATGACATGACAGATGACTTGAACATCTTTATTTGGTGTTATGTCATTTGGACTCAAATAAAGACTTTAAATAATATACTGTCATGTCATTTGGACTCTTAATTTGATCCCAAAATTTAATTAATATAACATTACTCTTATATCAAATATGAAAATTACAGGGTAGACATCTAAAGGACATGCAAGCTTTGCAATCTNAGCCTAAATGACATGACGGATGACTTGAACATCTTTATTTGGTGTTATGTCATTTGGACTCTTAATTTGATCTCAAAATTTGGTTAATATAACATTACTCTTGTATCAAATATGAAAATTACAGGGTAGACATCTAAAGGACATGCAAGCTTTGCAATCTTCCAGACACATGTCGCATTTAGATTCATTCTCATTGTGTCGATCACAGGTTAGAAAGTGTGGATGACAGAGAAGTGTAGTAACGGTAGCTCCGTGCTTGACATTTGAACTGGTTGCAATCACGACATTGATAAAGCCAATTCTTCGGATTCATTTCTCTCTCACAGTGTTCGCAATATAATTCACCGGGGTGGTAAATGAAGGGGGGATAACTCAAGGCAAGTGGGTGTTTTTCCCACCTATGCCAAGTCGTACGGGGCATCAAGGCACACCTCGTGNAATCGATTAACTAGAGTAAGACAATCAGGATGGAATAACTGGTTGCAATCACGACATTGATAAAGCCAATTCTTCGGATTCATTTCTCTCTCACAGTGTTCGCAATATAATTCACCGGGGTGGTAAATGAAGGGGGGATAACTCAAGGCAAGTGGGTGTTTTTCCCACCTATGCCAAGTCGTACGAGGCATCAAGG